CTCCCACATACATACATACATACATACATACATACATACATACATACATACATACATACATACATACATACATATATACATACATACATAGCCAGTAGGTAGGTAGGTAGTTGAAATAAAGCAAAGATCTAGGTACAATTTGTTTGTGCTAGATGACCATGCAACATTGACAACGTTTCTCTGCTACAAAGAAGTGTAGTTAGTTTTAGTAAAAGTTTTACGGCACTTGCAAGACAATTAGGTCATATAAAGAGATGTTTATACAATGGTTTCGACAGGAGCTGGGGTTAACCAGTACCTGTAACGACTAGCGACCGATCCTCACTACACATTTGGCCGCCACTTCTATGTCTCCCATGGACACCTCTTGAGTTCTTATCGCTAACCACAGCAGGTTCCAAGTGTTTCCACCAGTGCTGACACACAATTTTAATGTACGAGTTCTATGCGGCTGCTATTATTATCCTGTACCTGCCTATTCTCGCCCCATTGAAGGTGCTAATTTACGGCTGTAGAGGCGTTAAACAGGGAACATATGTATGACTTCATGCTCCCGAGGTGGACTTCTCAACATAACAATACGTATTCCACAGTATTTATGTCAAATCCATTTCGTTTACTCTGGGCAGAATTTATAATTTATAGACTATTTCTATATGACACTGAATATTGAAGTTTACGGTTTTGCACAGGTAGTCTACATGTTATGCGTGAAATGCGTTGACATGGCGCACTGCAAACACAGGCTAGATGTTTTAGAAGTATTTTGGGTCACTACTAGCAATGTACATAAGAACTTAAGTAGTTTTGGCCTTATGGTCAGGCTCTTGGATTCGCAACTATAAGATAGTGGCTTTGAATCCAGTGTCCTTGGGAAAAGCATATGAGGGAATTTTTCTCACTCCAAAGTCAAAGATAAGAATCTCGAGAGTCTCAGGCATCTCAGACGAAGGATCAAAGCCCGAAAAGCTCTTCAGAATAGCACCACAGCCGCGCTAACCAAACTCAAACATATCTAGAGAAACAGGAACATCGTCCAAAACTCAAAGGCCAAGCGTATGCACTTCTTAGTGACATCAATATTTGAAAGGCAGCGTGGTGGAATCAGGTTCTCGTGAAAATAATCAAAGTGAAGAAACTTGCATTTTTTCGAAGGTTTGTGAATTTTTATCAAATTTTTGCTTTTTTAGCTCATGACCTTTCATGCCCATTAAATAACTTATTTCTGTGTGAATGTTTCTTAAAAACGTTGATTAAAGCCACACAAAAAATGTAAATTTTCAGTTACCACGGACTTTTAAGCTAAGGAAATGATCAATCTTTGGCGGCCCTTTTCTCACTAATTTTACCTCTGAAAACAGGTGACCCCCCAACTCTTTCATTCGCAAATATCTCCACTTGTATTCAAGATATCCAGGATTTCTATCAGGGGAAGGTCACAGTTCAATGGATATTTTTATCATCCAAATAAAGACAAGTGAAAAAGCTTTAAGATGATTCCAATAACTCTACATGCACAAAAATTGACGAGTGCCTGATTCCACCACGCTGCCTCACATTTCTATACGTATGTGAGTCCTGGACCCTGACCGCAGACATTGAGAGAAGAATAAGAGCTGTTGAGATGTTAACGTAAACTGTTTATTAACATCTCAAACAAAGACCATGTCACCGAGGAAGAAGTCAACGGCGCATGAAAAATGTAGTCGGCCTTACACTGATCTTCTATCATTAGTCAAGCAACGCAAGCTGAAATGGTAAGGCAATGTCACCCGTTCATTGTTAAAACCATTCTACCAGGCACAGTACAAGGAGGACGAAGGAAAGGAAGACAAAAAAGAGGTGAGAGGATAACATCCGAGAATGGATAGCCAAGGAGCTGAGGGACACACTGAGGAAAGTAGAGAGCCGAGATGAATGGAGAGGATTTGTTGCCATCTGGCGTCATAGGCAGCCCAACGGATGACAAAATCAGAAGAGAATATATCAATGATCGCGAGGTCTTCATTTGGATTCTATTATCGTGAACGCCTGTTTGAAAACACAGCGAATTGAGAATAGGTCTGCCTAGTCATCTTCACACTCTTTGTCCCCATAGTCTTACGGCGTTTATGCGAGGGAGGGGGGTTCATTTTACAAGCACACACTGGCCTATCCGACTAATTTGACCTGACCTGATCATGTAGCTCTGACAGTCAAAACCACATCGTGACTGAAATCAGATTGGTCTTTCAATCTGCCAGCGAGGCTTTCTCTTATAACCAGACTATTGTTTCGGGTCGTTTTTGGTATTTAAAAATTTTTTTGGGGTGTTTTTTATCATTTCAATTCAGTTTACTTTCCTTCAGCACCGTGTGTTATAGAATAAAAGAATGTTAGGCCTTCTACGACAGAAAGAATTTTCCAGAATCAAAGGAGTAAAAGAAACATTGTGGACATGCCACTGTAGAGAGGATAACAAGAGACAACAAAAACGTAACGAGCAAGTTCGAAAGAAATTAAATCACTTCGCACAGTTCTCAGTCAAATTATGCAAGGAGGAAAACTCTTCAATAAACGTTTTTACGAGTATGCGTGTAGGGATTTTATAAATAGAGTTCTACTCGTAAAGTGGATCTTAAGCAATATTTTTATGTCTAGTCAGTAGCAAGTTTCCATGAAAGCTGTTCAATACTTAAGACATGACCCTTCGTAGGCCTTAACGCATTCTTTCTGTATTGGTATAAGCTTCCTTAACTTACTGTCAACTTAATGTATATTGTGCTTACGATTGCCGGTAACATTAAGGGCGCGCACATTTAAACCTGTAAAAGATTATAATAACCAAATGGATTTCCTTCACATTGTGCACCAAGTATCAAAAGCAATGTAAGCGGAAAATGTTGTTTAATAACAATTAACATCTGAAAAGTTTCCACTATGTGGATATAATTTTTTTTCTTACCCAAAAGAACTGGCTTCACTTTTCCGCTCTAGTAGTTTCGGAGACGATTGCAAAAGTGATATGATAGGCCGCTCCGTAGTGGCTTTATAGGACGGACAATTAGGATCAAAATGGAACACAATAACGTTCTACGTAATTTATGCGGAATACAGGACTTGTATCAGGGAAGTTCACAGTTCAAATTTTTCAGAGGGCGATTAAAAACAGTAATGTCAAAAATGCGCAGTATAATGCAGGTAATTAAAACCTAAAGCAACGAGTCATTTCCGCCTTTTGACAATGACAGTGACAACGGCGATTTTTATTGATCTTGCAGGGAGACATTTGCCTTGATAGTTTACATGGCAGAGATGTTACAAAGTCCATGTACACTCGCACAATCACACAGCGACGACAAAATGACATAAGTGATTAATACGTGATGAAGCATATCCACTTCATAAACATGTTCTCTCTCTCTCTCTCTCTCTCTCTCTCTCTCTCTCTCTCTCTCTCTCTCTCTCTCTCTCTCTCTCTCTCTCTCTCTCTCTCTCTCTATCTCTCATTATCTCTGTTTCATTTGTAGCACTGCGTGTCCAGTAACCTTACAATTACAACAATTGGTACAAATGAGTTTCTTTGTCTGTTACAGAAAAAGCTCAGTAATTAAAAATCCGATGTCAATGGATGGGTGTGGTCATTGCCTCCTCATTACTTTGAGCTGTTTGTTTTCTTCAGCAAAAAGAGTTCTAACCTTTCGATTACTATCTTGAGGGAAAGATATATAAATATTCATCTCAACATCAGTCATAACTCTGTGCCCCTTCTTAAGACAGGGGTCAATTAGCAATAATAATTATAGACGTGTATCTCTTTCATTTTCGCAACTGCGTGGGAGGCTTTCCACGAATAAACGCATTTTTGACATGGCCAAGAGTAGGTGACAGAACTACAATAATACGAGATTATAAATAGAAAGCATTTGTACGGCGCAAATTCCCGCTTAACAGCAAGCTCTATGCGCTTTACAATCTACATTATTTCCCAAGCTGACCTGATAGCATTCTGAAAGAATCCCAACTTCCTGGGAGGCATACAGTGCAATCTGCCATTTATAGGCTCCAAAACACTAACATATAGAAAAGATCTTCCCCTGCCTCTGGCCAGGTATCTATTCCCTCATAAGTGGAGTGAGGAAAATTCGTGTGAAGTGCCTTTGCAAAGTACACAACATCGGGCCTGAAGCTCAAACCCCCGAACTCGCCACCTCACGATTACGAGTCCGGTAGCCAGTACAGCCTGAGATCCTCAGAGATAAAATTGTGAAAGAAAAATTACTAATCATCATAGTAGAAGTCATAGTATGTTGACTGAAATAGGTTACTAAACAACCAACAGTCTACTGCATTGTATTCGCCGTTACATGCATGATCACAAAGAGAATGAGATTGTTTGGGCTGTACGCCACTATTGAGTCAGTTTAGATCATTATGAGAGATAATTGCTTTGACCCATTGTATCATGGCTTGGCCCAGTAGGAGACAGCAACCCAGCAGAAAGACAAAGGTACTCGATGGAATTTATGGCTACCCCAAGAGAGACTCTAACCAATGTCTTTTGCGTGACGGAGGAAGAGTCACAATATTATGTCGGTAGTCCATGCTTTCACACTACGTACATGATACCTAGCACATGATATCCTCGTTTGTTAGTAACTCTCAACTTATTGCACAATATAATATGACGTAGGAGGATGTGACAACGCGAAGCTAACATTCACTTTGGTTAGATCCACGCACCGTACACATTTTGTGGGTAAATGTTTTACGACGCTCACAACTGTGTACGGTCATATTAGCGCTCGGGACCCATTAATTCAGTTTGAATTTTGCTCGGGTGGCGGCTGAAGCTTACTCTTTTCGATTTTAAGTCCACCAATTGATCAGAAAAGTGCGAAAGTTGCACAGAAGTAAGCACTAAGTAGGAACCAAGGAGTAGCAGCAGAAAGGCTGCAGAAAGAGTCAGGAGTCAGGGGCCTAGAGGTGCCCCCCTCCCCCCCCCCCGGGGGCAGTATCACTGACTGAAGACGGGAACATTTCTCGTTCTTATGCTCAGTAAAATTGTAAATGGGCGGATTCAACAAGGTCAAGCTCATAACTGTGCCTGAACTACAACAGGGAACTGTTGCTCTTTCTTTCCTAACCCTTACTATCGTCATTTCCCTCTACTTCTTTTGTATGTTTGTCACACTCTTGTAACCCGCTATTTCCGGGGTGTCTTGAAAGTCAAAACAGACTTTGTGCTTTGAAAGCTAGAGAAGTGAGCAGAGAAAGTCCGATTCCTTGTAAAGACTTCTCTGTTGACATTCACCCCTTGGCGTTCACATGACCTTATACGGTTGCGAGCGCCGTAAAACTTCTACTAAATTAAAAAAATAAATATACAAATGTGGGGGGCAAAGGGGAAGGGGGGGGGGGGTGCAGAAAATAGAGACGAAAGAGACCACAGACCAATGTTGGAGAGCAAGAAAGGGGGTGAAATGAGAAAATATTTACAGAAAAAGGTTTTCCGTCGCTGTCAGGTTTCGAACCCGATCGAGACCTAATGAATGAGAGGCAAACATTAACGTCTAGACCACAAGAGCCCCCCATTCACAGATTTTTCGCAAACACAAGCTTTCGAGAAATTAAAAACAATAACGATTAGCTGTTTGAAAACTTTATTACAAAATCAATGTTCTCGTCATGATGTTGGTGCAACCTTCCCACTAAGAGAGGCACATGTTGACTAACAGATCTTGAGTGATGATATTAGATGATGGCTGCCCCCATTCTGCAAGTCCTGCGAATAACGCTTGCAAAGGTCACCTTGCTGAAAGAGAAAGAAAAATACAGTGCGTGATTCATTCTCGGTCTTAATTTAGTGTGTTGGAGGTTGGAAAGATATGGATGGGGGGGGCGGCAAACATCTTCTAGGGGGATTGTTCTTGGGATTGGGTTGAATTCTTTGTGCAGCAATCATATCGTCTTTGAGCTCTGTTTCAATCGCTCTCCCTATTTGTATGGTTCCTCGTGAAGGGTCTGCTGTTTTTACTACTACTACAAGTACAACTACTGTGGTTCCTGGCTATAATAGGACCTCCGGGAGAGACGTGATGTCCTTGTTGTAGCCGAAACCTGGCGAAGTCGTGGCTCAAGTTTACACGCACTGTATATTCTGTAACTAATGATAAAGAAAGGGACCCATTTTATTACATAAATAACCCACTGCCAATTTCATTAGTGATTGCTCCTTTCTCTTCCTGTAGTAATTTATATCTCCTCATTTTTATATTCTTTTTCTTGTGATAATACTTGCATTTATATAGCATAAATGCTCTACAGAGTCTACACAATTCTCTGTGCGCTTTACAACTGTTACTGTTCGTAATCTGATTGTTACCTCGTTTGGGAAAAGTTGCACTTTTTGATATTCAGTAGATCTAGCGCCCATTGCCCACTTTTCATTCAACCGGTTCAGTTATTCCCGCAAGTCTCGCCACCCAACGGGGAGACAGAGTGACAACAATATGCCAGACCAAGAGCACGCTATGTCACTGAATGGATTTGTATCATCCCCAAAGTGCGTAAAGCTATGTCCCCCCCCCCCCTCTCCAACCGCCTTGCCATCTCCCCCATGCACACACGGTATGACATAAAATGTGTAATATGTAAACAATCAACCTAGGCTTACAGTGAGTCACTTCGGGGCAATGGGCAACCAATTCTGGCTGTTATTTTGCTTCATTTGTTGTTGCTTTTTCTGTTTCTTTGTGCGTTTAACTAGGGTTTTATCGATGTTTAGACCACTGTGATAGTCGAGCATGTCAGTCCAAGTGCATGTTATAAAAGAACTTTTTACAAAGCATTATAAGAGACTGGACTCAGGGATTTATTATAAGTCTGCAATAGCAGAGATCATGTTATAACCGAGACTGTTATAAGTGAGCGCCACTATGCTACTACTACTACTACTACTACTACTACTACTACTACTACTACTACTACTACTACTACTACTACTACTACTACTACTACTACTACTACTACTACTACTACTACTACTACTAATACTAATACTACTATTACTACTACTACTACTTCTGTTACTACTACTACTACTACTACTACTGCTGCTGCTGCTGCTGCTGCTGCTGCTGCTGCTGCTGCTGCTGCTAATACAACTACTATTACTAAAAACGTTTACTTCTACAACTTCTACTGTTACGACTACTTCAAAATTTAGTCTCACCTTAAAATCGACACAAAATGTCTTCAAGAAGCTTTGGAACAAAGCAGAAGATGTTTGTCGGGATATTGCACACTGAAAGAATACACAAAATAGTAATAAATAAGCCTTGTTGTTGTTGGGTTTTTTTCAGAAACTAAATTACCACTTCAACACAAAAAAGTGAATAATAAACTTGAGGAGAATGTACTACAGGTTTTTACGCTACCCATCTCCAAACACACCCTGTACTTAAATATAAGACGTATGAGACTGGGAAAGGAATGCTCATGATTATGACGTGGTTTTGACGCCCCTTCCAACATTTTAACATCCACTTCCATTAGGCTACCGAACCCGTAATCGTGATATTGCGGATTCGATGGTTCCAGCATCAGCTCCGTCCAATGTTGTGTCCATGGGAAAGGCATTTTACACGAAGCTCCCTTTTGGGTCAGTTTTTTGGGAGCTGGACTTTAAACTCGGAGGTACCATCCCGCCTCTTAAATAACCATCGTATCTTCATTTAGGACAGGGAATGCCTCATTTGACGATATCCCAGTATGATACCGATGGCCCTAACACCGCACAAGAACGAGAAGCCTTATTATACGAGTACTGACAATTGATCAACTGGAGACGATTCTTGCTATCTCGTTGGGTGGCTGGTAAGAGCTCATGTATCGTCTGTTCTTTTAATCCTTGTTAGTCTTACCTTAACCCCAAACTGTTTTGGGTAAAATGGATCTGTTATCATGTGACCACTCCATTAACAAAAGAGAGGTAATTAGATTGACATACGCTGCAAGAGAAACTACACCCCGAAATGTTGTACAACTCCATCTGTTATTTTTTTTAATTCGTCAAGGAGTCCTTTTTGTGTATTCCTCCCCTTGGTGTTTGACTCAAATGCAACTCAAATACATACGACTTAATTCGTATGTCTGGGTGTAGTTTCTCTTGACAAATGAGCCTTGAGCAATCGCTTAAACATATAAGGATGGGTTGTTTCTCTGAGGGCTTGGAGCAAGGAATTCCAAATTTTAGGGCCAAAAAATGAGAAACTTCTCGCTCCAAAAGATCTTACTTTTATTCCAGGGCCTCTGAATTTTGTTGCGTCTGTGGATGACCGTAACTGGCGGGATGGAACATACGGTGTTAAATGCTCAGACACATATGATGGAATGTGATTGTTAAAGCATTTATAACAACTGGTAGGAACTTCATATTGTACTCTTTTTTCAACCAGATGCCAGTGCAGAGCTTTTAACTTTTTTATGTATGGCTTTTCTTCTTTTTCTTCAATACTAGTCTTGGGGTGTTATTTTGGGCCACTTCCAATGTTCCTATTCTCTTACATGAGATGCCAGACAAATAGAATTGCTATAGTCACGTTTTGACAAAACAAAAGAGGCAGAGAGAATGCATCAGGGGCGGCTTGTAGGGCTAAAAAGTGGACGTGCGCAATTAAGCTACCGCATGCTGAAGACAAGCAAGGGCATAGTAAATTAGACGGCGTATAATTTTAGAATCTTTGGGTTGTTGAGAGAGGACTTCGTGCTTTTATTTTCATTCTTCTTTTTTTTTTTGTCGCTTTGATTTCCAGTACTAAATTTGTTTGTTAGCTAAACATCAATTTCGTTCATCCTGTACTGGAACTGAACACTCGAGTAATACCATTCACCACTCCACTACAAAACAATTCAAAGGCACAACTCGTAGAACGGTCACATTAACCTCCCTCGGGTTAACGGTCACAGAGTCACTTAAAATAGTAGCAAGACAGACAATAAACCAATCATAATTCACTTCAGCACTCCGCTGGATTGCTCCGGGGCTCACATAATATTGGTAAAGAAAAGCGTATGGTCTATCGCGTTTATTTTTAGACTGCCTACAATGGGCTATGTTTTGGCACTATTCGGCTGGAGCGCATTTGAGATGTGCCGTCTTATTAATATTAATGTACCGCCAAACTCGCTACTAGTGTCGTCATCGCTTGGGTTATCCCCTGGAGCTATTTATAGGCCAAGTTACTCTGTTGAATATCCTATTATGTTTAGCGAAAGCGCGTGGACTTTGGTTTGGCATAGTATATGTTTTACGGCGCTATAGACACAAAAATGACAGTTATGGCGCCAGAGAGGACCTTGTTTTGATATAATATTTGGCTAGTGTTGATTTCTGGCTTCTTTTATTTCATTATTGTGAGTGTTTTACGTAATAGAACATTTAAAAATTTGGGGCGCACTGCACGACCGTGCTCTATGGACGAACCGCGGCTGGTATGCATGCAATATCAGTGTAAATAGGGTGCCTCATCTTATGATATTCTTCTAAGATCAAGGTACACACATCAAGTGACATTATTTACTACGTTGTTCGTGGGCATATCTGAATGTAAATAGATACCAAGGCTCTTGGCCTTGCTAGTAAAGGACATACTGGTATCTCCAATTTCTTTACATTATTTAGATTTTCTGAAGTTCTGAATAGGATGGTTTCCTTTATGGGGTTGTTGGGGTTTATTTCATCGTTTAGCATTCATTTTTTTCACTTTTTTCAATGCATTCCTCTACTTTTTCTTTAAATTCATTAGTGTCACATGGATAAAAGGGCCTTATTATATCTGTATGTCATCAGTGTAGAAGTGGTAGCTGAGGCGATGCTTTTGCATTTCTACAGCAAGTGGATGTGTATACTTTATGCATAGTACAAAGCCTAAAACTGAATCTTGGGGAACACCGAACTTAAGAATGCCCATTTATGACTTGATGTCTTTTATCATAACAAATTGGCAGCGATTTGAAAAAAAGTTGTTGAAGCATTCGGGAGCAGAAACTTAAAAGTCATTTTTTTCCTAATCTGTTTAGTAACATTACATAGTCAATGGTGTCCCCACGTTGTCTCACATAATTTATCCTCTGGTGCCTCTCTTTTTACCTAGATTAAAGTTTACAGCGGCAACAGCAGCAACACAAACAACAACACTAACAAAAACAACAACAACAACAACAACAACAACAACAACAACAACAACAACAACAACAACAGCAGCAGCAGCAGCAACAACACGATGGAGCCCCCCCCCCCAAAAAAAAAATCAGGAGAGCGATAAGACTAATATCATTATTAAAGGAGAGTGTGCTACCAGCCATGTTCAGATTTCCACTTTTCGGAGAAAAAAGGTGCGGTAAACTCTTGTCCCATTGTCTCATTTACATCAATAAATCACGATAGAAAAGCAAACTGACCTATTCACTTGTATCCGGAAGAGATCAGCATAGAAAAAACAAACACTGAGTTCAATAATTAGAGTCTGTTGACCCGTCATCCTTTTTGGGGACACCATTTACTAAGTAATTAACGATTACAGGTTAAAAGTCAGGAGGTATTTAAATGGACGTATAGTGAGTTATTTCTTTGATATAACAGGTTAAATCAAGTTCAAAAAGAGGGAGCAGCTCACCGATGACCAGTTTGTGCGGCATGTAGTATACTTGAGCATTGTACCGCATGTTACTCTGTAAACGTTATGACAAACGCCTTCGCTATCTGAATCTCCACGAGAATGAATATTGATGAGTGGGCTTAATGATACTATTACCGCATGTCAAGTTTTATCATCACAAAAATACAAAAGATATATATATATATATATATATATATATATATATATATATACTGCTCTCTTGACGCTCTCTTAATTAAGAGTTAAGAGGAAGGAGTAGATCTATTGGTTCGAGTGCTAGGGAACCCAACAGGACCTTTTATTTTATCGAACATTTCTGTTTACGAAATTCAGCATGTTTGAAATAATTCCTGTGAACATCCTCCAAGCGGATGATAAAAATACAACGTTGTTTCACCCTCAAATCAACTAATTTGTTCAGTTCATGTCGAATCCTGTTTAGTCAAATTGTTATTGATTGATTCTGTGGAGTCAGGGCCAGAATTGCTGTCTATGTAATAATGAATAATAAATAGGATTTGTATAGCCCGAATTTCCGGTCAACAGCAGGCTTTGTGTCATTTTCCATCTGTTTTCCTGCCCCGTAACCCTTGGTAGCATTCTGAAAAAATAGCGACCTCTTAGGAAGCATATAATGCAATACGGAAGCTAAAACAACAGCATACTGATACGGTCTTTCGCTGTCTATAATCGAGTATCCATTCACACCCGGGTAAAGTGAGGAGAATTCGTGAAAAGTGCCTTTTTCCAACAAGGACACAGCATTGGTCTGTTGTGGCGAAATAAATAACTAAGAATCCATAAGACCTTTGCTCCGTGGGTAACTGAAAATATGGAATCCAGCAAATTATACAACGAGTGAATCATTAAGACTCCTGCTGAATGTCATAGAACTGCAGAACACCTGTCTTCGCTCTCTGCATTCAGAATGGCACCAGCAGAATGTAACCACACTAATAGAATTTGTGAGATTATCTGTACAGGTTACGCCAAAGGACTTGTAACAATAAATAAATAGTTTTTTGGTTATTGTTGTTTTTAGATAGCCTAAAGATTTAGACTCTACCAGAACCCGATGTGGTTTAGTGGGTTCGTTTCCGGGCGGTGTCAGAAACGTTTTTTTTCTACCTCCAATATTCCATCCAACCCAGATGTGCTGAAGTTGGAAACCAAGTTGCCCTAATTTGAAAAGACCTACATTGTTTCTGGCACGGTGTTTAACTTCAGCAGTAAAAACAACACAAACAACAACAACAACAACAACATCAGCAGCAGCAGCACCAAGACCCAGTCTCCTTTGGCTAACACAAGAGCATCTGCTGGTTATCTTCGGTAATTGCATGGGATTAACGCCCCTTTCAGCGCTGTAGAGTTGTTAAGTGGCAGAATATGAAACATTAACGTCCACTTCAAATAAGATTGAGCCAAGTAAGTAGAGAACCTCAAAAACTCCAGCTTACAGCCATGTTTAAAAACTACTGATCGGGGATTCGAAGCTGCATGCTCCGCACCACAGCCTGACATGATACTAACCTTGAACCAACGCCGGACCCCTTAATTCTTGCCAAAACTGCTGAGCAACAAAACGACATAAAATACAAAACTTTTTTTCTTACGGGAATAGTTTTGCATTATTTCCAGAATAATACAGAGGACATCCAGTGCCTGAGCTTCCACTGAAGGAACTAGGGCAGCTAAAAAGACCAAAGCCAACAGGAAAGGCAGAGCATCCATCTTTGTTCAGTTCCTGTTCAATACAAGAAGAATACAATAACCAAAGCAGATGTGTAGCGTTTTGCGTCTTTGCGTTTGAAAAAAACAACCTTTCTTCCGATTAGTACTGCCTGTTCCTGACTACCAGAAGCCGCTGAGGGCCCGTTATCTGTACAACATAGCCAACTAATTCTAGGTTCGAATCCAGGAAGGATTTAGATCATTTGTTCCTTTATGGGAATATTTGATGGGTCATATATAATGGTGTTTATTTTTTGTATACTTGTGATATTATACATATCATTTACTCTACTAAAATCATATTCAGTGATCTTGCTGGCTTTCATTAAGATTCGGTCAATTTTCCTTTGCCTTGCTCCTTAATTTTCAGCCCAGGAGAAAATACAAATCAGCAGCACTCTTTCGATCATAGAATTGTAAAAAAAAAAAAGGAACATAATACTGTTATCAACAAGCAAACGTCTTAATTTCCTTATGAAGAACTTTCTTTGATTCGATTTTTATGCACAAGAGCAGCGTGGGGAAGCCAGTCTAGCTTGTTGTTCGATGGTTACTCCAAGATATTTGTTGGAGTATACAAGCTCCACTTCCTCATCTTTAGTGAATAGTGGTTACAATTGGTCTTTTTAAATTCTTAAGTCTATACTTCATTCATTTGACTTTTTCCATTTAATTTTAGTAAAAGGAATTGATTATCACACCATAATTTGTAAATGCACGTAATGCATCCTTGTATTCATTCTCATTCGTTGTTATAAGGCCTTAGAGAGTGGAATCATCTGCAAATTTTATTGGTTTGACGGGGGGGTTTTGTTATTAAAAATACAGTCGTTGGTCTTGAGCGTAATAAAACAGGGGATTTTACAAAACATTGTGCACTATGTTCGTGAATATTAGGGCTGATTTTACACTATTTAGTTTTACATATTGATGGTGATCCTGCAGTAATTTCGTCGTGTGTCTATCTGTATATATTTGTTATTTAAGATGATGAGATTGGCATCCTTTACGCCCCTTAGGCAAATTGCATGTTATCCTATTTTTCTGTTGACTTCCTCAATTCTTTTTTCGGGAGTAACTTTTCTAAACATTTCATGAGGATCGATGTTAAAGCCACAGGTCAAAGGCCTTTCAAATTTTGTACTGATTGTTTCTTTGGGACAGGAATTATTTCGAATCATTTCCACGAGAGTAGTATTACGCATTCTTTCAAGGGCATATTGAAAATATCAGCGTAAATGGGAGAAAACTAGATAGAACACATTTTCATAATTTTACTTTTAACTCCACTCGCTTTGTGATTTTCAGATGATTAAACATGGTCTTGATCTCATGAACATTAACCACAAAAATGTGCTTGCTCTCGTCTGTGTTATTCCTGTTGTCTCTGTGGTAACTCTGAATCGTCTCTTTCACGGCTGTCAGCAGGTCGGAGAAGTCATGGTTGTCAAAACGAACGTTAAACGAATTCAGTTTATTAATATTCTGACTAAGGTTGCTGCTGGGCGTGGAAATGTTTGTCCGTCTTTGTGCGTCTCCAATTATTGCTTTTTCTATAATTAAAAAAAACAAACATTGCCAAGTCATTATTGTGTTGTTAGAGGTGAACAGCTGTTCTAGCCTTTCTTCGTATGCATATTATTATTCGTTGTGTGTATTTTTATCTCAGTCTTTCAGTCTGAATGCCTTCTTCTTCTCAATTAGTATTTATTTTAATCCTTTGCTTACCCATGGCTTATTGTTTGGGTAGTTGTTGATAACTTCTTTTTTTAGATGAATGCTGATCTTCACTAAACCTGATGCAACTAGCGCTCGTCTCACATAATTCATCTATACTGTTACGTGTATCTTAAAAAACACTTCAGTGAGGACATTCAGAGCATCCTCTGAGGCTTTCTCTATTTTCTTCACTCCATATGGAGTTTGTTTGAGTCTAATGTGCTGTCACAACCTACTAGATGGAATCCACCAATGACAACACAGTTTGAAACGTTGCCCTTGAACCACGCCTCGCTTTAAACAAACAGTAGTAGTAGTAGTAGTAGTAGTAGTAGTAGTAGTAGTAGTAGTAGTAGTAGGTGGAGGTGTGAGGAGAACTAAGAGGAGGAGGAGAGAGGAACAGGAGGAGGACGAGGTGGAGGAGGAGAATGAGGAAAAGGAGGAGAAGAGGGAGTAGAAGGAAGACGAGAATCAGGAAAAGAAGGAAATCGTGGCGACAGTTGTGGTGGTCTAAGTTGGAGCTACTAAAAATTGTGTACAATATTATCTCCTACCGTATGCGATTGGTGTAGTCTCACAGGCTGTTCAGCCGACTATGGAAGAACCGGGTAAGGCAAAGCTTGATTTAGTTACAGTGTCGGTGGATCAAGTACAGATCACCCTACCTAATGACATGCACGCAGGGCAAATGCCCTAATGATGGTTCACATTTGTGTAATTCACATCTGTGTCTGTGTGCTTTGGTCCATTTGCCTAATGATGCGGTCGAGTCGCCTACCTCAGAGGGTGTTTAGGCTGAATCCACAGTTACATGTAATTGTACTTATTGTGTATGTGCGTACATACATATTTACATGTATTACATACTTTATTTAATATAGTATTTTTTTAAATTGATCTATTTATTGATTTATTTATTCATCTATATTATATATTAATATCATTAATTTATTTATATATTTTTATATATTATAGATTTGAAAATATAGATTAAACAGTAAACGATACATTTCCAAAAAAGCAAGAACAGACAGATATAGAAATTCATTCGTACCAACTGCAGTGAGGTTACTGAACACACAGTGCTACAAATGAAACAGAGAGAGAGAGAGAGAGAGAGAGAGAGAGAGAGAGAGAGAGAGAGAGAGAGAGAGAGAGAGAGAATAATAATAATAATAGATAGCATTTGTATAGCGCATATCCCCGCTCAACAGCAGGCTCTATGCGCTTTACACTATATTATTACCCCAGCAGACCATAGAACACTCCGAAACATTCTCAGCTTCCCGAGAAGCATACAGTGCAAGCAGCCGATTAAGCGCTCAAACACTAACAAACTGACAAGATCTTTCGCTGTCTATAGCCGGGTACCCAGTCCCACCTGGATGAAGTGAGGAAAATTCGTGTAAAGTGCCTTTCCCACGGACACAACGTCGGGCCCCTGACGGGATTCGAACCCACGACCTTACGGTTGCGAGTCCGAGAGCCTAACCACTAGGCCACCGACGCCACAAGAGAGAGAGAGAGAGAGAGAGAGAGAGAGAGAGAGAGAGAGAGAGAGAGAATGAATATTTTACGGAGCGGGTTGTCCCAGCCCGTGAGACATGTATTTACTTGGCCTAATGTCCTGTCTTGTTGTGCGTTTGCGTGAGTGCACTTTTAAGTCTACCTTTTGTAACGTCTACTGCCATTGTTAAAGGCCAAGACAAATTTCTCCCTGCGAGATGAATAAAGATTGTCATTGTCATTGTCATTGTCATTAATATTGGTTCAATAACTCTTACAAGTGTTCACTAGGGCGTGTCCTAAAGCAAGGCACTAGAAGGGTGTGGTCATGATTAAAACCAGAGGATGGACGGCAGATGGAGCGAAGAGAACAACACAATCAAATACTTGTTGTATCTACCCAAACGTCCTAAAAGTACGAGGACGGCTTCGACACTGCCTGTTAGCGCCAACCCTAACTGAATAAGATTACAGAACACCTGCAGAAAAAGACGGAGGTGTTCGAAAAAAAAAAAACAACTGAGACTACATCATTCATAGATTCTACGTAGACTTTTCTCTTATGACTACAACTACAAGGCTGAAGTAATGGAAATTGATCATTCATTATTTAGTAACAGACGCACCCCCGCCCCCTTTCCTGCAGTTTGATCGAACAAGAATGTTTTACTGTAAACAGGAGTGCTAGATGCATAGACTTGCCTTGGTGGTAAAGCATGAGCTTTGCATCTCAGGGAACCCGGTGTCAGATAGATTAGCTTATGCCCTGTGATTAAGAATCGATTAAGACAATTTTACGGGTAACTACTTAGGCACGTTAGTCAACTTTGAAAAGGATCAAAAGTCGTCGTTTCCGTTAAGTCAAGTGAATATGAGCTTGCAAAGTCCCGAAAACTTATTTTGTAGTGGAGAAGGAGGAGGAGGAGGAGGAGGAGGAGGAGGAGGAGGAGGAGGAGGAGGAGGAAGAAGAGAAGGAAGAAGAGTATGAAGAGGAGGACGGGGAGAATGGGAGAGAAGGATTTTTTTTTAAAAACACCAAACGAATAAATGTGTATGCCAATTGTTTTAATACATTTTCGTTGGAATCTAGTTCGTATTCTTTGTTTGAACAAAGAAGAAAGTGAATAAACAACAATTAATGCCAATATAAAGGAATTTAAAACAATATTTCACAAGTGCCTCCTCATGGAAATGTATTTGCATTCTGCTCTGGGACAGGATGTTGAATATGTAGTGCCTTTTGGTATATCTTTCTTTTGTTTGTGAGTGTGTTTGTTTGCTTTTGTTTTTGTTTTGTGGTTACGATTATCATTATTATCATTAAAATTACGGCTATCGTCAGCTTTATTATTACTACCATCATTCTTACCACTTGAAATATTTCAATTAATTGTTACCATTACAACTACAACTGCAACTACTACTACTACTACTACTACTACTACTACTACTACTACTACTACTACTACTACTACTACTACTACTACTACTACTACTACTACTACTATCATATGTGGTGTAGAAGTTAACAGCTTTGCAGTTGCACACACTGGACTCGAGTTCGATATCCGAGGGGGGGCGAATTCTTATCGTGTTCCTCGGTCTTGCTGCTAGGATGCTGTATCCCTCTCAGCGTGGATTGGTCCTGACAAGCCAGTTAAGTTTGGAAGCCCGCCTTCAAAATGGTCTAAATTGTACTACTACTATGCTAAGCGATAAAAAAGCATTGAAAACCGAATATTCAGAGACACGTTCCCTCCAATTTTTATCTATAGCTTCATTTTAATTATACGAAATCGACTATTTCATACATAAGTCACCGTCGTTGATAATAATCAGACCGAATGCAGTTCAACATCATCCCACCTATGAATGGTTGAAACATTTATGGCAGAATAGCACGATCTTAAAATTTCGAGAGAAAAGTGGTTGGGGCAAAGGGATGCAAGTTCCCCGTGGTTCACACAGCCATATAGATTCTACAAAATATAGAAATATCTCATAAAGGGACTTGACCGCGGCTACACGCGTTTTTTACACAAACTGATAACAAATGCAGTCACCCAGAAAACAACAAAATGTATCTTAATACCCTGTGAATACACCATTATGACTATGATGCTTTTCATCGAAACAATAGTTTTCTCAAAACTTGAACTGCTATAAGTACCTGAAGAATACTATCTCGTTGAGGATCAGTGGTATTTCTACAAGGAAATGATATGACGACTTTATATGAATTATATGTGAGCTTTGAATACCATTTTATCCGACTCAAACACGTTTGAGTTTAGTTTGAATGTCCTATTTTATTTGCAGTCTCTATGAAAAAAATGCAGCTTTTGGCTTTGTTCCAATTCAGTAATCTAATACGCAACTAATACTCTCACAAAAACATGGTGCCAGAGTATTGGCGTACTGTAATAAAAAGGTTATGAGAATCCAGTCTTGCTATTCGATTTTAGGCTCTCTAGGAATTTTCAGCACCAAAATTTCGATATTCAAACTCGTGACAACAAATATTCTAGTTCACCCCTTTTTCTGAGGTTGATAAGCGTGCCTTACAGTTGAAAGACGTTTGGCATCAATAAAACGTAACGAAATAATCGAGCTCCAACTTCAACAAAACGGGGGTTTGACATTTTTGTTTTGAAAAGATTCTATCATTGTTACAGGGCTCATCATTATCTTATTCTCAATGAGAAAACAATATTAGAGAAAAGTCTCCTACAAAAACAAGAAACATTTCTCAAGAACAAAATTAATGCATTCTCAATTACAATTCAATCCACATTCTGTTCGCTCGAAGTGGGATGAAATCCGGACAGCTTGAGGTCTGCAAAGATGACACTGCAAAAGAAAAAAAAATCACTTTCGATGGGTAATGACAATTAGTTACTATAGAAGAAGTGTCTTCTGCAGATTGAAATAGGTCACTTGTGACTTAGCAACCAACAGTCCACAGCAATGTCTATGTCGGTATGTTCAAGTTCTCATACAGAATGGGATTTTTTTCGGCTTTACACCCTTATTGACTTAGTTTATATTATCTTGAGAGATAATTGCTTTGACCCATCATATCATGGCCTGACTCAATAGGATATAGCACTCCAATAGAAAGACGGGTATAATCGATATAATATCTCCCCAACGTGGGGATAGAAGTTTAAAATCTCAAGGCTTGAAGTAAATGGAACCAAGAGCTATTCAGGAAAAGTGTGTTGTTGTTTTTTTAGCCGGATGAGCTACGCTATAGCACTATAGCTGTTTGGGGGGGG